ACACTGGTTTTACAATGCAACTAAATGATGTGTTATATGTGCCCAAAATAAGGAGGAACTTGGTTTCTACATCAAAGCTGGTTAAACAAGGCTATATTTTTATTGGAGATCATGAGTGTGTCAAGCTTTTTAAAAGGGGATCTTTGCACGGAAAAGCATTTTTGCATGATCATCTTTAGAAAATACAATGCAATGTAGATTTTGAAAACCTACATGTTTTGAATATTGCAACTAAAAGGATGCATGTTTCTAATCAATCATTCATACTTTGGCACAAGAGGCTAGGACATATTTCAAAAGAAAGAGTTTTTCAGTTATCTAAATTAGATTTGATCCCTGCAATAGACATTAAAACTGCTACAGAATGTGTTGATTGCTGTCAAGGGCAAGATGACTAATGTTAGAAGGTTATATGCCAAAAGAAGTAGAGGCTTGCTCGAAGTCATTCACACATATATTTGTGGACCTTTTCCTGTCAAAACCATTTGTGGGAATACTTATTTTGGGAACTTTATAGATGACTTCTCAAGATTCAGTTATATTAACCTTATAAGTGAGAAGTCTGCAGTCCTTGAATGTTTCAAAGTTTTTAAAGGGAAGCTGAAAAACAATTAAACCATGTGATTAAAATTGTTAGATCAGATAGAAGAGGTGAATACTTTGGCATGCATATAGGAACGGGGCAACAAAATGGTCCATTTGCTCACTTTCATGAAAGTCAAGGGATTGTGGCTCAATATACCACTCCTGGTACCCCACAACAGAATGGTGTGGCAGAAAGGAGAAATAGAACTTTTATGGAAATGGTGAGAAGCATGATTTCAAGATCAAAGCTCCCAAACTTTCTTTGGGGAAAGGCATTGAAGACTGCAAGTTATATTCTAAATCGAGTGCCTTCAAAGTCTGTGCTTAAGACACCTTTTGAACTATGGTATGGGAGAAATCCAAATTTCAATCACTTTCATGTATAGGGTTGCAAAGCAGAGGCAAAATTCTACAATCCAAGTGAAAAGAAGCTCGACCCTAGAACAACTACATGTTATTTCATTGGTTACTTAAAGAAGTCAAAGGGTTTCACATTCTATTGCACACAGGCATATACAAGGATTCAAGAAACTCACAATGCCATTTTTTCTAGAGGATGAAGTTGTATCAGCCATGACTCAAGATAAATTCGATTTTGAGGAAATAGTGCAGTCAGAAAATTCTTCTCAACTAAACTACAATCAAGTACCTGTATTTCAAATAGCTCACTCAGAAATTGCTGACCTTGATGATGACATGGCAGAAACTAAGAATGAAAGTGATGATCATACAAGCATTGAGAATCAAGTGGGAACTCAGGATCAAAATCTCAATGTTCAAACAACTGAGAATTCGATTGGTCAACCAAGGTTAAGGATATATAACAGAATCAAGAAACCTGTGATCTCATAAGACTATGTGTATCTCCAAGAGACAGAATTTGATTATGGTGATATAGATGACCTTGTGACTTATCAGCAAGCTATGAAAAGTCCTCAAGTAGCTCTATGGCAGCAAGAAATGATAGAAGAACTTGAGTCAATGTCTAAAAACAATGTTTGGTCTTTAATGAATCCTTCAATTAACACTAAAGCAGATAACTGCAAGTGGGTGTTTAAGACCAAGAGAGATGCTAAGGGAAGAATTGAGAGATATAAGGCTTGATTAGTTGCAAAGGGATTCACACAAAGGGAGGGTGTTGATTACAATGACACATTTTCACCTGTTTTTCCAAGGACTCAATGCGAGTGATAATGGCTTTGACAACTCATTTTGATTTGGAATTGCACCAGATGGATGTCAAAACTGCAGTCTTGAATGGTGAACTTGATGAGGAGATCTTTATGTCTCAACCTCCTGGATTTGTTGAAAGGAGGAAATAAGATATGGTCTGTAAATTGAATATATCAATCTATGGTTTAAAACAGGCTTCAAGACAATGGTTTCTGGAATTTGATCAAGTAGTTACTTCAAAAGGGTTTGTTGAAAACAACATGGATGATTGTATCTATCTTAAGTTCAAGGGATCCAGGTTCATTCTTCTGGTCTTATATGCTGATGATATCTTGTTTGCAAGTTCGGATGTACAACTGTTGAAAGAGACTAAAAGCATGCTGAGTTCAAACTTTGAAATGAAGGATCTTGGTGAAGCTCATTATGTTTTGGAATTGAGATTGTGAAAGATAGAAAACAAAAACTCCTTGGTTTATCTTAGAAGGGCTACATAGAAAAAGTGCTTAACATGTTTAACATGGAAAGTTGCAACAAGGCTGATGTTCCAGTAAATAAGGGTGATAAGTTCTCTCGAGATTAGTGTCCTAAAAATGAACTTGAGGCTAAGTTAATGAAGATGAAACCATATACTTCATTAGTTGGTAGTCTTATGTATGCTAATATTTGCACTAGACCTGATTTGGCTTTCATTGTTAGACTTTTGGGAAGATTTCAATCAAATCCTGGAGAAGCTTACTGGGTGGCAGCCAAGAAGGTGTTGAGATATTTGCAGAGAACTAAATGGTTTATGCTAGTTTATGGGCATAGTAATTCATTAGAGTTGATTGGATTTACTGATTCTTATCTTGCTGGGGATGTGGATGAAAGAGAATCAACTGGTGGATATATTTTTAAGCTAAGTGGAGGTGCTGGGTTATGGAAGAGTGCTAAATAGACTATAGTGTCAACTTCAACTATGGAAGCTGAGTTTGTAGTATGTTTCGAGGGGATAAAGCAAGTTGTTTGGCTCAGAAACTTAATTGCTAATATGAAGCTTGTAGATTTGGTCAAAAGGCCTATTAAAATGTTCTGTGATAACAATGCTGCTGTATTTTTCTCAAAGAATAGCAAAAGAACTTCAGCTTCAAGGTTAATGGATGTAAAGTTCCTTAAAGTTCAGAGAAATGGTCAAGAAATTGGAGATTGATATTCAGTACTTATCTACTGGTGCAATGATTGCAGATCCTCTTACTAAAGCCTTGCCAAACAATGTATACAAGGAACATGTTACACAGATGGGGGTTGTAGAGTCTTTTGAACAGTAGGAGTGAACTGCTGCGAAATTGGAAGACTGTTGTGGTGTTTCATTTGTATATGATGGCATTGAGGCAACATGTCTTCACAATTAGGTAGTTTTGTTTGTTTTGAAGTTATTAGTATTTGCTTAGCTAGTTTTATAGCTTATATTGACTTTCAATAGGTGTTCAATTCTTCCAATGTGATCAATTGTTCCAGAAAACAAGTTTCAATCAATAAAAGTAAGTTTGCTAGAAAATCAGTTTTGAAATTTTGTTTGATGCATACTTATTGGAATTATTGCAAATTTGAATATGTAGTAATTGTTGAATTGTTTATGTGATGTACATAGTAGATTCTTCAGTTCCTTATTTTGAAATGCATACCTATGTAGTATGTGAGTATGAATGTGGCTTGAATAAGGTTTAGTGATCACTTCTATAAATCTTAAAGATTGATTGTTGTGTTTTATACTCAAGTGGGAGAATGTAAGATTATGAGTATGAAATATATGATAGAATTGGTTATAGTGTTTGAGATTCATATGGAAAAGTCTTGGCTAAAGCTGTTAGGTTGTCCTTAATGTTTTAGGATAATAGAATTGAGAGAAGTTCCAATTGGTTTTGGAAAAGAACTTAGTGTTGGAACTTTATAAAGTCACAATTCCTTATGGTTTGTATAGTTTGAATCCTGGTCCAATTCTGATAGGGAATGGATGGAGGAGTACTATATATATGGTTCAAACCACTGCTGTTGCGATTCACCAGCTTGTTTTGTTCTAAGACCTATTGATTAGAAGAGCTATTAACGTCGCAAAAGAGGAGAAGGTTTTGAGAATAGAGGCTGCAATGACTTCTTCATCAGGATCGAATAATGCAGGTATGTTTTAAAGGCTTTGGTTCTTAAGTGTGTTCAATGAAAGGTTTGCATTAGTTGTGATTCAATTGGATGAATTCTTGTTCCTTGGATAAGATGTTACAAACTTGTTCTTACACATGAAACTGGTGTGTGGTGTGCTTTTAATGTAGACAACGTGTCTCTCTGATATGCTTCATGTTCAAGCATGTGGTACTTTTTTTGGGTACAAAACATGGGAATTATGCTATTCACGTTCTTATTAGCACTAGTCTTGCTGATCTTTTCTGCCATTGTGAGAACCGTTCAGCGATTTTTCACCGTGATGCCAACACACTGTTAGAATTAGTACTCATGGGTCATGGCTATATAATTGGTTTGTTGTCGGATCAGTGTTTTAACAACGATGGCTTGAAATGAGATCTGAATGTTCTCATCTAGTGTACTAAATGGCAATTCGGTTTTTGTTTTATTGCTTCACATAGTATGTGGTTTATGATATAAAAGATGTTATGAATGCTTGCCTTCCAGTAAAGAAAAGCAATTTTGAGGAATCTGTGTGTTTTAGTTTCTTTCTCTAAACCGGAGTCAGTCATATCCTTCTTGTAAACTTTACGTAGGTGATACAGAATGTGACTCAGATGCATCTGATTTCTTTGATGACGGTCCACAGATGATTACCGTTAAGTATCTGATGAATTTTTAAACCTCGCTTGTTACAATAATATTTGCTAAGGGAGCCAATATGTGAACTTTACATAGGTGATACAGAATGTGACTCAGATGCATTTGATTTCTTTGATAACGGAATATCGTTACCTTGTTAAATGTTATTGTTAGAACACTACTTGCTATGATGATCATGAATTGAATTGAATGGAGTTTTGTAATGCTGATAGGACTTGGGTCTGTTTAGTAGTGCATCTAACTAAAGGCGGTTGTAACAACGTTTGGTCGAAAAAGTTAAAATAGTTGCTTCCTTTACAGAAGCACTTCAAGTTCTTTTCAGAAAGCACTTGGATTGGATATTCACTAAAAATTTCCAACATGTTTTTGCTTCTAGTAGAAACGCTTAAGATCAGAAGTGTGTTCTGGAGAAACGTTTCAAAGGAGACCTTAAAAAGTGAAGCATGTTTTCATATCGTTGTACAGAAACCAGTAGGTTATTTGGACAGCAAAAGTATACATCAGAACAGTCACAAGCAGAAACACACTAGCTTATACATTCAAAATCCTTTAGCTATGAATCATATATATTTCAACTTGGAGCAGTTGAGTCGTTTCAGTTTCTCTGGGCTCCGAAGGTAACTGAGCTCCCGAGCCTTCTGAAACTCTTCTGAACTCTGTCAAAGAGTCTTGCTGGGGCAGGGGATACATGAAACCCAATGGCATCTATGTACCAACCATGTCTTCCCTTCAAGCCAACAATTTTGCTTCGATCCAGAGTGTAAGTAAACGGTGTGCCTTCATCCATTCCAAATGGTCCGAATGTTCTTCGATTGCTCTGAAATTTAAGCGAACGGATGATAGGGGTGCCGCCATACACCATCGTGCCATAGTGCCCAGTCACACTGACTATGTACTCATCGGGGTACTGCAGCTTTATCTGCAAGGTATGAAAAAGATAAGGTATGAATGAGGTCTTAAGTTCGATCCTCTGAGACAATAGTTGTTGAAATGAAATGAAAACTATGAGCTACGAAGCAGACCTCCGCGGTTTGATTGCCTCCGCGACCTCCACGCGTTTCAGCTTTGAAAGGCGTGCCGTTTTTATCATACACCACGGTGATGGAGTCGATGCAGTGGCCATAAACAAGCGTGATTTCTCTCACGCCATTGTAGATGCCGTCGTCCCAAGGAGTTCCACCATTTCCTCCCCATGGTCCTACTTCCATGATCTTCCTCTTCTCGCCTGCTTGCTCCTTGCCATCTTCCTACATAAAAAGTTAAAAAACCAGTTTCCTTGTTTAAACGTACGTTAAATGCTATTTTCTTGTTCAAAGCTTGTGTTGATACACAGTTTTAATAGGTAAATAGAATTGACGATCGAGTGCACAACAACTGAGTAATGGTGGACACAGCGTTCCTTTCAACCTACTGTCTCTCGGGTTCAAACTCTTCCCTATTCTTTTGACGAAGATTAGATTAGTAATATCACTTCTAATAATAAAACCAAAAAAAAACAAGAGAGTAAAAAATAGATGTGGAAAAGAAGAGCTTAATGCTTACCTTGGCGTTTAATGGAAGCATGGGAAAGAAAATGATAAACACAGAGGTGAAGCAAGAAAACAAGGCTTTTTATAGAGAGTGTATATAAACACACACACATGTACATATACACACACACATATATATATACATGTATATATGCATGTATGGTTGTTGGTTAATTGGTGAGTGGTAAGGATGGGGGTAGCATCTGATTCTATTCAAACATTCTGCATGAACTGGGAATCATGCTTTTGCTTTATACATTTGAGGACGTGGTGGGAACCGGATCCCCTCCGGACCCAAAGGAATTGAGTCTAAGGATTAAATGATTCGGGCCATTGAAATTTGATTCAACGGTTACAATTATTATAACTTTTAGAGGGCCCCCTGTTTGTAACTGTTGGATCAAATTTCAATGGCAGGATCATTTGATAAGTAGGCTCAATTCCTTTGAGCCCGGAGAGAATCCGGTTCCGACGTGGTGGTCATCACTAGAAAAGCTATATATTAGTTTGTATATCTTTGTTCTTTATATAAGAGGATAAGGGAGAGTCGAACATAGGTCGTGAAAGACTCCAAGTGCACAAATTAGCACTCTAAACTACTGAGCTACAAACTTAAAAAAAATTTTGATCGAGAATGATATACATATTTTTTCTTCTCCTACGCACCCTGGTTTAACTATGTCTATTGTTCCATTTGATTTTATTTAATCGAATTCCATAGATAAAGAGGGTTGTGTAAGAGACTAAGAAAGAGTGTTAAAATCAGCTCTCTTCTTGATTTTGAAAACTGTTATGGGCAACCAAAAAATCTCATTTTGCACTCTTCACAAGTTTATTTTTTCTTTCTAAATATAAAAAGCATAAAGTGAAAAATGAGAATTTTAGGATGCCAAAAACAATTCCCTTTGACTTATGAATGAATTAAAAACTGCGCTTGGTGAATCTCTAAAGTGGACGACACGCGTAGAGACTTCGTATATTTGTAGATACGTAGGTTTTATTTTGGGAGTTGCATATTACATTTTCGAATGGTACACATCTTGCTATATTGGGAATGTGATTCTGTGGTGTGTGGAAGCTGTTTTAGGTGCTTCTAGCTCTTCCGATTCCTATCCTTCTCTTCTCCACTTTTTGATTGTGGGAATCTAGGCCGAGAAATTCCTTGACAATCCTTTTGGCCGCTTATATACATGACGTGAAATAGACTCATAATTGTATACAACCGATTCATAGTTGTGGGATACCCGGCGTTTATAACCATAGAAAGTTTATCAATCTCGACACATGAGAGACTCATAATTGTATACAATCGATTCATAGTTCTGGGATTCACGGCGTCACGTGAGCGTACACAGTTAGGGTCATATAGCTCAGCAAATCCCAATTATCAAAATTGACTGTCGTAAATCACTATGAATATTTTGCGGTATACCTTGAATCCTCCTGGCTTCTTTTACAAAACTTCTAGTACAAGAAGGGAGTTTGTAACTAAAGTCGTTAAAACGATCATTTACAAGATCGTGGAAACTCACTAACCTAAATGAAAAACTTAGAAGGAAGACCATAGTCATATAATCTCCACACCAAAATTAAAAAAAATAAAAAAAATATTCAAATAGGATTTCATTGTGACATAAAAATAAAATTCAAGTTAAATGTAAACCTTAGCGGGACGCCATCCTACCATCTTTGTCAGATTTCCACTTCAATCTAAAACAAGTGATCTCATTAACCCTTGGATGTGACTTCAACCACGCCATCCATGGAGCCGCGTGTTTGTCCACTTTCAAGTTCACCATCCGGGCATCCTTTAAGAAGTGTCGCCAACATTTATTGGTTGAATTCATACTTATGCAGCACGTTGGATCTTCCTTTCTGGTAATCTTCTTACGTACCAACTGCAGTTCAAGTAAAAACAACAGCTGAGAAAGCAAAATGTCACTTTATTCTTTGATGGCACAATCTCACTGAACATGGTGGCTTTAATTGAAGGAGCCATGACCCGAAAACATAATTCACAGCATACAAATTACAGATAACGTAATAGGGTAGCAATTAGCAAAATGTATGCAAGAAAACTACCATACCTTGAGGAATTCACTGCCGGAAGACCAAACTACAGACAGGGTCTCCAGCTGCCGTTTCTGCAATGAACTATCTAATAGTTCCTCGGTACCCACTGATGATTGGACTAATTCAAATTTCAGACCACAGTTTGGAGGAAGTGAAATTTCTCTAAGATTTTCATGGATGATGACATTCTGGATTGGCCAATGAAAGCATGTAAGATGAGATAAATTATGAGAAGCGAAAAATGAGTTGCAATTGTTAATAATAAAAGAAGATTACCTTATTGGTGTAAACAACCAGTTTAAAGTCTCTATGATCCAGCTTTCCAAGAAATTTTCGCATTTTAAGAAACCATTCAGGCTCAGATATGACGTTTTTCACTGGTGCAAATGAAAACTTAGCCTCCTTCAAACTTATAGGATTCAAAAAAGAAAAGGGCATTTCATCACCTTCATACTCAAACGAAAGAAGATTAGTAGTATCAATTTCAACATACGCTAGCTTCTTGCAACCTCTTAAGACTAGCCTTTTCAGCCGATGGCTTGCAATTCTTATATTTTTCAAGTAAAGGCATTTATGTAGATCCAGTTTCTCCAGGAGAGGAAACATAAAGAACCGATCACGAAACTGGTTGTCTGTCATTCCATTGTCCTCTAACGTCAGTCTTTTCAGAGACTCGCATTCAGCCAAGTTAATTTTGCAGGGCATGTTTTTCTTCCCGCAAAACCAAAATGTTTCAAGACTTGGAGCTTTGATTTCAATCAAAGCTAGTCCATGGCAGTAGTGTACCTCTACCCGATAAAGTTTAAGGAGACTTGAAATCTGCAGATGATTAACCCCGTGCAAAGTATGAGTCTCAAATCGTTAATTTGAGGGCAGCTAGTAATGAGATTCATAATTATCGACTGATCAAGAGGAAGTCTTCGCAGATATAGCTTTTGCAGATTAGGAAGCGTTATATTGCTAGAAGTATCCAGTCTACAGCCTTCTAGCCTTAATCCAGTTATGGTTTCTGAAGCAAAGACATTCCTAGGCAATGTGTAGTGGCCGCTTGCATGGAAACCAATCTCTTTTATTTTATTTTCAGCTGCAAGTCCAATCCACTGTTCAATACGATGAGCCATATCTTGATCAAACGAATTCAAATGCAGCACAAGCTTATATATACCCAAATTACGCTCAAAGTGGCTTTGGAGAGACTTGTCAACAAAATCCTTAAACATTGCATTGCACGTCTTCTTATCTTTAACTCCCTCTGGTGCTTGAAACTTGCACTGATCGAATGCCAAAACAGAGAAAGAGGTCCACAAGTCCCTCCACCTCTTCGACAAGGTACTGGTTCGAGCAGCATCTTTTGTACCACGAAGGAGAGACGGTATGAGATGGATGACAGTTTCGGGCAATTGCGAGACATAATCCACGCATTCAACTGTCATCTCCACACCATTCCAATTTCCCACCCCTTCCTTCTGTTTAAGCTTAACACTCTTGTCAGTCATGCTTAATTCTCCACTCTTTCGTTTTCCTTCAACTCCAGACGCTTCTGTACACAAATCAAAACCTAACGCGCCGGAGACGCCTTCCCCTTCCGTTTTCCTCCTCTTCCTATCACGAGGTAGATTTGTATGCAAGGCTCTCTTGAACATTGTCTATTCACTACTTGCAAGGCACCTGATTAGTGATTGCAAATTATTTATCTGTTATGATCAAATATTTTACCCACTACAAAAATTAACAGAAAACAATTCCCACAAACACAATCAAACCACATAAGATGCACAGAACACGATTGAATTAATCAGCAAATAAAACCCATATTAAATCACAAGATGAAGAAAAATTAGGGTTCTTTTCAGAAAAGAAAAAGAAGCATCAATCTTTGACCTGGAAATTGAATAGAAAAACAGAAGATCGTCGTCGAATACCAATTGGATTTCAGCGAGAAAGATGAAAGGACAGAAAGAAAAATTGAAAGGAGTAAGAATTGTGAGGAATTACCTGGTCCTGCGGTCTCCCCAAGAATAATCTGTACGAGAGTCAGAGTGTGGTGGTTGACTTCTCATCCCCCTCTGAATTTCGTCTTCACCTATTTGTAGTCTAGGTTTCTTTTTCTTGTTTTTTTTTTGTTTTTCACTCTTTTGGCAAATTTTGGGATATAGTCCATTATTAATGGAAAACGATCCTTGCCGGATCTTTTCCCATCGTATATTGTGAGCTAAGTAATCATATCAAAATTTAAAATTAAATATAAATAATACTTAATGAAAATTAACCGTACGATATATGATGAAAGTGTGAGATCACGGGATCCCTAAAATCCCTAGGAAAAGGATATGACGAGGATCATTTTCCATTATTAATAGCCTACAACGAATTTTGTCCCTAATTTTATTTATTTATTTATTTGATATTTCTAAACAGATGAAAATAATTTTTAGAAATTAAATGTGAAAAAACACAGACTTTACAATTTCGAATTATATAGAGAAAAGGACAAAAGAAAGCACGAAAAAAAAAAGAGGACAAAAAAAGGAACAAAAGAAAGGAGAAAGTGCGTATATAAATAGCAGAAGCCTAAGATAGTATTTTACTTACTCAAGTAATGAGAGGTTTTTTATTAGTAACCCAATCAATTCTTAAAAAAATATTATATTACCTTTATTGATAATAGCTAAAAATATCGTGGTTTTTATTACAAATGACTTATGAAATTGAACCAGCCCATTCAAGATGGTTTTTGAAATTGAAAATCAATCAATGTAGTCCCTGAAAATATATGTTGCAAATCAATGCGGTCATTCTGCTACAATTCCACTAAAATTTATGTTGTGTCACATAAGTAGGTCCTGTGTAACATCCCACATCGCCCATGGGAGTGATCCTTAAATGTATATTTTCATCCTTACCTAGCACGAGGCCTTTTGGGAGCTCACTGGCTTCGGGTTCCTTAGGAACTTCGAAGTTAAGCAAGAAAGGGGGCTAGAGCAATCCCATGATGGGTGACCCACTGGGAAGTTGCTCGTGAATTCCCAAAAACAAAACCGTGAGGGAATGGTAAGCCCAAAGCGGACAATATCGTGCTACGGTAGTGGAGTCGGGCCCAGGTGATATACAATAGCACTCAAATTAAACCCTCTTTTTGACAATTGTAGTATAGATATAAGTAGGGATCGTTCTAGGCCGGGGATTAGGAGGGATTGCTAATCTAATGAAAACTGACTCAAAGATACAAAAATATGCTTAAAAACACTTAAATAAACTCAAAGACTCTTAACTAAACTTATATGACTCAAAACAAACTCAAAAGACTCAAAACAACACAAAACAATGAAAAAGACTCAAACTAGACTCTAGGACTTACTTTGGACGAAAATAGGTTTGGTTTTGACTCAAAATACTCAAAAACACTAATTAGGACATATTCTAACCTAATTGACACTTAAAACAAAGGGGGTTTTTGGTTTTGACGAATTTGAATTAAAACAAAACAGAAACTAAACTAGACAAAGTTATGAACGAATTTGGGTATATGGATGGGTGATTAGCTAGCTAGAGGGTCCTTCTCCACACACGACACACTTGCATACAAATTGATTTCCAGTTGCTTTTCGATAAACCATGAACCTCAACACCCCAGATTAACCGTGACATCACTAATTAACCCTCAGATTTTCCTTAAGTTATTGGATTGGATGACATCATACGACAACCCAAAGCATTCTTCAAAAGTTCCCTACATGACATCATAATAGAGATACAATCAAAGATCATTACGTTCAATGAAAATCATAAGCATTGACAAAGCACTTGTAACTATGACATCATGATACTCATGCTAGGAATTTACTTAACATGATTGTGAAAACAACCTTAACTACTTGTGAACATAAGTTTGTAACGATTATGTGAAACTCCCTTATATTCTAGCACCAAATTCAAGCATGCAAATTAAGTGTGCACCCTTAATCAACAAACAAGAATAAGTTATCCATCAAACGGTTAAGTAAATTGCATTCACAATTTATGAAATCACAACTGGAATTAATCAATTCATATGGCAAATATAATCATGGTTTCAAAGTCTCCTCTAGCCAAAACAAAATTAGTTCCTCATGTTTACAACAGAACAAAGAGAATACAAATTAAACATTGAAAACAAAGATTGAATACACCTAGAAACGCTCCAACAATCCAAGCTTGAATGGCCAAAATGTCCAAGGCTTCTCTTCTTTTCTTTCTCCTTCTTTGTTGCGGCACAAGGGTGTTTGGGTATGAATTATGGTGATGGATGGATAGGTTGGATGGTGGTAGAGGGTGGATGATGGCTGAATGAATGGGGAGAATGAGGAATAATTCGTATGGATGTGGATGTGTATGGGTGGATGATGGCTGAATGAATGGGGAGAATGAGGAATAATTCGTATGGATGTGTATGGGTGACCCGGGCCCGACTCCACTACCGTAGCACGATATTGTCCGCTTTGGGCTTACCATTCCCTCACGGTTTTGTTTTTGGGAACTCACGAGCAACTTCCCAGTGGGTCACCCATCATGGGATTGCTCTAGCCCCCCTTCTCGCTTAACTTCGGAGTTCCTAAGGAACCCGAAGCCAGAGAGCTCCCAAAAGGCCTCGTGCTAGGTAGGGATGAGAATATACATTTAAGGATCACTCCCCTGGACGATGTGGGATGTTACATCCTGCAAATCTAATTTTTATGTCAAAATAAATTTTTTTTTTCTTCTTTTGTCTTCCTTGCGCATGCTTGCCTACCATGGTAGCCCTTACTATTAGCCGAAGTAAAAAATCCCTTGGGTGTGGAGGGTTTTTCCTGAAATCTTCTGCTACTCGTTGGAAAGATTGGTGTGGGGCCTTAAATCTGGGCCTTGGGTGCGGCGGTAGATCGGAGTATACGATGGGGAGAAGGTTGGTGTCAGCGACGTTGGAGTCGAAAACGAAGAAGATGGTTTGGTTTAACTGGGTTTCTATCATGGTATATTATGTTTGAATGGGTCGAGTGCCAAAAGTCGAGCCATGGTGGGCAGTGCTGCCATGGCAGCCAAACCTACTCGATGAAGACGACGGGAGAAATTATGTTTTAAAATATTTATTTTTATTTTGACATAAAAAAATATATTTTTAGTTTTTAAATTTTTTTAATTTCATAGTAATATTTAATTAGACTTATGTGACCTACTTATGTGACATATAAGCACATAATTGAATTTTAACGGAATTGTAATGGAAGGACTACATTGATTTGCATCATCAATTTTCAGGAACTACATTGATTGATTTTCAATTTCAGGGATCAACTTGATAGGTTTAGTCAATTTTAGAGACTATTTGTGATAAAAATCCTTTTATTTATGAAAATGATTTATACATTTTTTTTACACTATTATTTATTTCTGACTTCTAAATTGAATGAATTTATAAAAAAAAAAAAAAAAAAGAGAAATAATTAAACAGAAGGTACAAATAGAGAAAAATAATGTGGGGTTATCAATTCCTTGTGTATATTGGCTAGGGCAGCGATTTTGAAACCCAAGGTCGCCTCAACCCATAGAAGTGTTAGGTTTGAAATGATGAAACTGGAGGTGATCGTACAGGTGGCGGGATTATATCATGAAAGAAGGGAAAGTAAAATCCAATAAAATCTTGAGGGAACGTCATAATTTGTTTTGGTCTGAAAAGATACTCAAAATTTACCAAAACATTTACTTTCCAAAATACTTTAAATCTTTCATAAATAAAAAAAAAGTACTTTAAAATCACCGGATTGCACCTATATTTTTATAGATTTCTTTACCATTACCATTAAATACACTCGGATTTCTATAGACTTTAAAATCAATGGAGTTAAATCCAGATTATCTGAGTATAACAGATGTTGAAATAGATGTGATTTGAGTTGATTACTTGTGCCCCAAGTTACTCAAACTTCTTGTTATCAAGGGATTGTCACAGATGGGTTAAATATACATTAAGTTCTTTTTCTTGCCTTGTAAACAAGGACTTTTAGTTCATAATCTTGTATGCTCGAAACTAAGGGAGTCCAGAGCCCTTTAAAACCATATCCTCATTTCCAGTTTATTTTAATGAGACCAAGTTCATTAACTTAACTAGATTCGAATGCAAATGGACCTTCTTAAAGTGGAAAATAGAAGAAAATAACTTGAACATATACTGAAAAGTACATTAAGCAACATATCTACAAATTTAAAGTGCAAGCAAAGAGACTCGGTCAAGATTTCACCTTGTTGGGCAAGGTCGAACCTCTTGCAGCCACTTATCTTTGAGTTTACAAGGGTTGTATGCTAAAAGTGATGGATGGTAAACATGTTTTACATGAGGGAATTGATGCTACAACACTAGGGAGGGTAACAGAGCTTTTACACTAGACAAAAGATAACTTTTCTAAGGAAACTACTGTTTTAAAAGGGTTGAATCAAGGTTGATTTTAGCTTTTTGGATGTAAATTTGGCTTGAGAGCAAAGTTTGTATGTTGTTTGTTTGATTGGTTGAGTGTCCATAATTCTGTTGTCTCTCTTGGCCTTTATAGGCAACTTGGCCGGATTGCTTTAGTTTCACTATTGGCCGAGGGCTTTCAGGGGTAGTGAGTCATCTTGTATTTACACCTTTATGCCATCAAAAAGTGTTTTTTGGTTGATAGTGAGCTGGTCTCTGTCACTTGTCACTTCATTCATAGGCACATGGCATATGCCTTGGTTGAGAAAGCTTCAATTTGCTTCAGGCTTTGTAGCTGGGCTTCGGGCAAGATCATCTCGTTTTGGCGCACTTGGAGCCTTCCTTCAGTTAAGCCCAATATTCAAATATCCCTCCTTGTACCTTGACCTAGGTTGAGATTTCCCCTCTCAAACTTGTTGAAGGGCTTTTTTTTTTTTTTTGAGTACATCAATATTTTTATACACTAGGGGGAGAGAGAGTTTGGCTAAGTCACACAATAAGCAATCTAATTTGGTATCAAATTTGTCATTCACGAGATTCGAACTTAAGACATCTCATTTCCATGTGAAGAGGAATACTACTAGACAGTAGTACTAAATGCTACTAAAGGGCATCTTGGTTAGTTATGACATGACGATCTGCAATCTGGCCCCGTCACTCTCAGACTCATCACCTGCTTCGAACTGCTAAAAATCAGTAGTACGGGGCTAAACTTGATCTTCAAGAATTTCGCATGCTGCATAGAGTGCGAAGGAGTTCTGATGGGCTCTACTTTTTTCAGCCAAGGCCTTGCTTCTCCTGGTTATCCTACATCCTAAACGTGCCATGGCAGGACAAAGATTGGCACAAAGATGTCTTAATGTTAGATTCTTAAACTCCAACAAAATCCTCCAAAATCCAATATTATTTAGCCATTTAGGGAAAGAGATCCTTCTTCACGTCATTATTTAGGCATTCAGGTAAAGAGATTCTTCGTCACGCCAAGGAAGTGGCAAAACTAGATTTGATGGCTGCTTGATTAGGAATAATACAAGACCAATTGATATTTTCTCCTTAACACGTACAGATACATTTGCCATAACAATAAAATGGTACTAAATCGTGCGAAAAATTAGAAGATTCAGCAGGTTGGTTAGCAGTTTTGACTGCACAAGCTGGTCAGCACTCAGCAGCACAAAGAATCCATCAGTTTTCTTCTCTTATATTTGGTTTTTTCTTCACTCTCTCTTATGCTTTCATCATAAAGTTCTGCATGAAACTCTCTCTCGTGTGTTTGTTGTTCCAGCAACCGTGCTATCAGATTCCTCTCTGAGCTCAAATGGGGTCTCAGAAATCCCTAAGAAGTTGCTCAGTTTTGCCCAGAACCCCCAGGTGTTTGATTGGATGGTGGGAATCAGGAGGAAAATACATGCAAACCCAGAACTGGGTTATGAGGAATTTGAGACCAGTGAGCTGATCAGAGCAGAATTGGATCAAATGAGTGTTGAATATAAACACCCAGTTGGGGTTACTGGTGTTGTAGGCTTCATTGGCACCCGAAAACCGCCTTTCGTTGCAATCAGAGCTGATATGGATGCTCTGACCATGCAGGTTTGGATGTGTAGATTGTGTAGATAGAGTTTTTGTTGTAGATAGACTAATTAATTTATAATTTGATTGATGGGATTTTGTATTTGTAGGAAATGGTGGAGTGGGAGCACAGGAGTAAAAATGCAGGGAAAATGCATGCTTGTGGGCATGATGCTCACGTTGCAATGCTTCTTGGTGCAGCAAAGATCCTTAAAGACCATGAGAAAGATTTGCAGGTAAAACTTAACAGCTTTTTGATGTCTTTGGTGTATGATCTGAGTATGCATAAATAAGAATTCGCTTGCGGGATTAGACAAATCGTTTGCCCCCACATTGCCATTTTCACGTTTGGTTTCGTAACTGGAAAGCGTAATGTGAGCTTTATGATTCTCATAAGGTTGTAACTTTTTTTTACATTTGTTTCAACGTCAACAGGGAACAGTTGTTCTTGTATTTCAACCGGCGGAGGAAGGAGGAGCAGGGGCTAAGAAAATGATAGCTGGTGGAGCATTAGAGAATGTTAGCGCTATTTTTGGGTTGCTGTTGCAAACCACGTACCTATTGCTGAAGTGGCCTCCGGACCCGGTCCCTTTTTAGCTGGGGCTGGCTTCTTTGAAGCGACAATAAGTGGAAAAGGTGGTCATGCAGCCCTTCCTCACCACGTGGTTGACCCGATCCTGGCAGCTTCTAATGTGATTGTCAGCTTGCAACATCTTGTCTCGCGTGAAGCTGATCCACTCGACTCGCAGGTAAAACCCCTCATTTCCATTCTAATCTTAATACAATGGGTATTCATTCCTTATTTGGTTTCTGTACTGGTTGTTTACACCTGATTGAAATATAATGGGCATTGCTCAGCGCTTACTGCTCGTTGCTTTGCTTGTGTTAAACAATGACAGTTTAGTCGGGACCTATTTTAGATTCATTCCCCGATCAAATGACTGTAAGCACTAGTTAGTGCAGCATTGTTCTGCACTTTGATTTGTAGCAACCGGTTGTCTAATACGGTGACTGTCTGAAACCACCATAACTGCGTTGCATTACAGTCTTCGGTTGTATAGAATTGAAATTTTGCGATATGGAATTTAATAGGAAAGGTGTTTCTCTTTCAAGTACTCTTGTCAACTAATTTGAAAGCATATATTTTCAGGTAATCACTGTTGGAAGATTTCAAGGAGGTGATGCATTCAATGTTATTCCAGATTCTGTCAAAATAGGTGGTACTTTCCGTGCATTTACAATGGAAAGCCTAATGCAACTCAAGTAGCGGATTAAGCAGGTAAAACAGTTAACATTGCTCATGTAATATGTATGTTAATCACTTCTTATCGGTTAATTAATGACTTGTATAATGATAGCCTGATGTACTTCTTTTGCCAGGTTATAACAGGACAAGCATCGGTACACAGGTGCCTCGCAACTGTCAATTTCTTTGAAGATGAGAAACCTTTGTCCCCACCGACCATAAACCATAAGGACTTGCACGAACACTTCAGAAACGTAGCTGGGATATGCTTGGCTTTGAAAAGGTCAAGGACCATCAACCGTGGATGGGATCCGAGGATTTTGCATACTAGCAAGATGCAATACCTGGATACTTTTCCTTCCTTGGAATGGCAGACGATGCACTTGGACCCCTACCTACGCCACATTCACCTTACTTCTGTATCAACGAAGATGCACTTCCTTATGGTGCTGCACTCCATGCTTCTTTCGCTGCTAGGTATTGCTCGAGTTTCAACAGGAAGTTCCTTTGCCAGAACGAGAACACCATGATGAATTATAACAGGCTGATTGACTAATTCCTTCGTTCAAACATTACCTAGTCTTCATACTCACTAAAGGATTTTCATACTGCAGCAACTGTGCATTGCATGGTTCATTCGTCAGTAAATTATACAATCATGTATCAACATTTAGTTTTCATCAAATGCTGTAACTTTGAATTCACATTTGTCAAATAAAGCGGGCAATGTTTAGTGTACGAGCATTCTTGGTACTACAATCTATGGTATCTTCTGCAGCACAAAATTTAACTTGGAACCGCATCAGAAGATTAACGAAAGCAAAAGTGTATGAAGTCTTTAGAAGGGGGGAAAAAATGGGAGGCAGTAAATTTATTGAATAAGTATGATTCAGAAGCAATACATTCGATCAACTAACAACCAGATAAAAACAGATCATTATTGTACCAGAAATTTTGTAAGATCCTAATTTTGAGCCCTATTTTTCTATACATACAATATGCTTTAACATTGAAGTTTCAAAAACCCTATTGAATTTGGGTAAAAAGGTAATCAATCTCAGCTACACTCATGCTCCGAACACGCAATTAGAACTCGATGATATGTCAAAACCCAAATACTTTCGATGCTAATTCTAACAGGGGTTCCAAAGCACTCGGGGCAAACTTTCGTGCAAAAAGGAAACAGAGTGAGGTTGGCTGGTTGTTGTAAAGACATGTATCACTTCCAATCCTCTTGAAAAACTCCTCTGTAATATCAGCTTTGCCGAATGTAGCCGGATGAGCACCGCCCCTAGACCAGTCTACATAGGTAAGGGTCCTGTTTGCCAAAAGATGCGGAGTCTCGATGCTAAGCATTGTCTGGAAGTAGTGCTCATCCACATAACATGCTGGTTTGCAAAAGTCCTTGAACTTGGGGTAGTAAGTTGTGTCTCCAACAATCCTAACTGCAAGTTCCCGTTTAATCTCAAACCACTGAGACCCTTTACGCCAATCAGAGAGATTGACCAAAGGGGCCATGCGTCCGTCATAACGTCCTCTCCCATAGGGCCCATTTTCATCAAACGAACCCATGAAGCTGTACCTGGATCTTGACAGGTAGTGATAGACAATGCTCAAGTTGTAGAGAGGAATACATGACTCGGAAAGGAGGATAAACCATTCATTTGAGATGTCAAGCAATGCATTAGCTAGGAGTCTCCTCTCAGCTTCGCACATACTCATCTCTCCCCACTCGGCAACCTGAATCATAGAATATAAATAGTCACAGGTCTAAATACATGAGAACAAGTTTGTTCTGAAAATTACGCTTAGAAAGCCACAGAGGAATGACATATCTGTTTCTGCATATATATGAAGGTATCTAATGATCGATAATCAGGCGCCCATTGATGTAGATAACCAACGGGGGAAACTATTTCTAACCACAGGTTCCCTACTGATCAATGCATTAGTTATTCAAAATAGATACTCGCTTTCGGTACATTAACATCGATCAAGGTGGAACCGTGGAAGCAAAATGCACGCTGTGCAAGGAATGGTCCAAACCAACACCACAACATGGGGAGAATTGGCAGAACCAACTCACAACAAGCAGGCCAAACGCATGAAACATATTCAATTAAAGTAAATTTACCTGGCTTGGGATTTGTCTCTTGTAAAACACTGATGTAGGTGAGAAATCGGCATTATAAGATGGCAGCGAATGCACATAGATCGAATAAAGTCCCTCGTGTCCTCTTAAAAACCGCTCCCAAAGAGGCTCCATCGGCAATGGTCCCTTTGTTAAGAACATGAAGGCAATTTTAGGAACTCTCTTAAACGGATACTCCTTTATTTGAGAAGCATGTGAAGCGAGCCACAGCAACTCGGTGTCATTCATGGCGTGCAACAGATTAGATGGAGGTCTAATCCGACTTTCTAAACTACTCGGCTCTTCGAAGCAAGGCCTAATCGTGGAAGGTGCTGTTGGAGCCACATGCTGAACAGGGAAAAACCGAATCGAGTGCATACTCAACATCGAAACCCCAAGACCCAAAACTACAAACATGACAAGAAATTGAACGAGTCGCAACGGCAAGGCCCTGGCATGGCTGGATTTAAATGTAGTAGCAGGATCCTTGCCTTCCTCCAATGCCACCACTCCCCTTGACTGCATCTTGATTCAAATCTTAATCGAATTCAACTACCACCAAACACAAAAAAATTCAAATTCAAATTCAAATTCTGGGTTGTGTAGTTTTCGCAATGACAAATTCAAAACAACCCCTTTTTCAATTCAAATCATCACACAAGGACACCCCAGATTCTGAAAAATCACTTTCAATGAGAAAAGTGAAGAAAATTTGGATTTTGCGTTATGGGGTTTCCAATTTATGCAACAATGGAGGCCCATAACGCATCCAAATTCAACAAAAGATTGAGATCACATCAGAAAGTTAGGAACAAAAAGTACTTTTCCAAATGGGATTTCTCCAAACAACAAGGCTCAAATCAACAAAAAGGAAAGTTTTGGGATCAAAATTCAAATCACAAAGGCTTGAATTCCCATTATCTTGGCAAATAAGAAAAAACATGCAACATGGTTTGAGAAAGAGAGGAGAGAGAGAGAGAGTGAATCTAGTACCATGTGCGTTGCAAAAAGGAGAGCAATATGTGGATGAATCAATGCCGGATACGTTTGAGGAAGCAACGCAGATCGATTCACACTTGTCTCACCTCAATTGTTTTGCTTTCGAGTTTGAGCCGGCTCTCATTCATTGAATAAAGGAATGAAATTTAGAGAGAGAGAGAGAGAGAGAGAGGGAGAGAGAGAGGTTTAAGGGGCTGTCACTCGTTCCACTGGTTTTGTTTTACCTTTTGGTTTTGTTTTAGTGGGGTGTTACGAAAAGTAAAACTGAAGAAAGCATTTAATAGTGAGAGAGAGAAAGAGAGAGAGAGAGTGTGTGTGTGTGGGAGGGTGGTGGCAAAATCGAGAGGGGAAGGGAAGGTGTGTGTGTTGAGGATTTTGTTTTATTGGTTTGGTCCTTTGAGTTGGCGCAAAGGGAAAGGGAAAGAAAGCAAAAAGTTATACCTTATGTTTGTGTCCTTGTTCCTCTGTTTTGTGGCTTCTTCGTCGTGCACGTGTCGTGGCTTTACCAATTTGTTAGTTCAGATGCTTTCATTTTCCAATAATTCCATTCCTTTTATTTACACAAGCCTTTATGCACGTCCGTGTTCATGCATGCGATTTATACGTTTTAAATGTATTTATATACGTAAATTAACAAAAGAAAAGTCAAATATTTGAAGTAAATGAATAATCTTAGATCATGTTAGAAAAAATATCACAAACCAATTAAAGGAGCTGAATTCACATAATAAAATCAATCTTTTAATTTTCATCTACATTCTATTGAATTTACATTAAGAGTAGAGAAAATAATATTTAATAAACAACTGATTGAATCATATTATTGCTAACCCATTGTAAGGCTAAGCTCATCCCTCCCCCTAAGTGTAGATAACATCATTTGTTAAAAAAAAATAATAATTTGACAACTAAATTAATCACATTATTATGCACATGCAAAAAACCTTTTTTATAACTGACATTACACGGCTCTTAAGATGTTTTGAACGTGTTTAAAAATAGAGAAAATAATATTTAATGAACAACTGATTGAATCACATTATTATTAACCTATTGTGAGGTATTAATTAAAAAAATATACAAAAAGAATTAATTATTAAAAAAAAAACACTATTAAAATGACAAAAATACTCTTGCATTATTTTTGGTTGCTTTTGAAATTTTTTGTTTTGGGGGCATATTCGTCCAGAAATTTTTTGTGAAGCTTGTGATCCCAAAAGGGATTGTTGGCTTTATATATAACTAGCAGTCATGCACATGCTCACGCACGTGTAGAAGACATTTTTTGAATTACGAAGTGCTACGCACGACTTACACGTTTTAAATGTATTTATATGCGTGAATTGACAAAAGGAAAGTTAAATATTTGAAGTAAATGAATAATCTTGGATCATGTTAGAAAAAATCTCTCACAAACCAATTAAAGCAACTGAATTCACATAATAAAATCGATCTTTTAATTTCCATCTATATTCTATTGAATTTACATTAAGAATAGAGAAAATAATATTTAATAAATAACTGATTGAATAATATTATTGCTAGCTCATTGTAAGGATAAGCCCACCCCTCCCCCTTAGTGTAGATAATATCATTTGTTTAAAAAAAAAAAAACAATCATTTGACAACTAATTTAATCACATTATTATGCGTGTGCAAAAGACCTTTTTTTATAACCGGCATTACACGACTCTTAAGATGTTTTGAACGTGTTTAAAAGTAGAGAAAATAATATTTAATGAACAACTGATTGAATCATATTATTACTAACCTATTGTGAGGCATTAATTAAAAAAAACTGTACAAAAAGAATTAATTATTAAAAAAACATTGTTAAAATGACAAAAATACTCCTACATTATTTGGTGCATTATTTTGGGTTGCTTTTGAAATTTTTTGTTTTGGGGGCATATTTGTCCAAATTTTTTTGGTGAAGCTTGTGATCCCAAAAGGGATTGTTGACTTTATATATAACTAGCCTTCATGCACATGCTCACGAGCGTGCAAAAGACATTTTTTGAATTACGGAGTGCTACGCGTGACTTACACTTTTTAAATGTATTTATATGCGTGAATTGACAAAAGGAAATTCAAATATTTGAAGTAAATGAATAATCTTAGATCATGTTAGAAAAAATCTCTCACAAACCAATTAAAGCAACTGAATTCACATAATAAAATCAGTCTTTTAATTTTCATCTACATTCTATTGAATTTACATTAAGAATAGAGAAAATATTATTTAATAAACAACTGATTGAATCATATTATCGCTAACCCATTGTAAGGCTAAGCCCACCCCCTCCGCTTTAGTTTAGATAATATCATTTGTTCAAAAAAAAAAAAATCATTTGACAACTAATTTAATCACATTATTATGCGCGTGCGAAAAACCTTTTTTATAACTTGCATTATACGGCTCTTAAGATGTTTTAAACGTGTTTAAAAAAGAGAAAATAATATTTAATGAACAATTAATTGAATCACATTATTACTAGCCTATTGTGAGGTATTAATTAAAAAAAATTGTAGAAAAAGAATTAATTATTAAAAAAAAAAGCACTGTTAAAATGACAAAAATACTCCTGCATTATTTTGGGTTGCTTTTGAATTTTTTTGTTTTGGGGGCATATTTGTCTAGAAATTTTTGGTGAAGCTTGTGATCCCAAAAGGGATTGTTGGCTTTATATATAACTAGCCTTCATGCACACGCTCACACACTCGCACCAAACGGCAGGGTGACTCTGATACCATTCTGTCGTGTCCTAGACCGACTCCGCCATAGCATGATATTGTCCACTTTGGGCCCGGCCACGCCCTCACGGTTTTGTTTCTGGGAACTCACGATCAACTTCCCAGTGGGTTACCCATCCTGGGATTGCTCTAGCCCAATCTCGCTTAACTTCGGAGTTCCGATGGAATCCAAAGCTAGCGAGTTCCCAAAAAGCCTCGTGCTATATGGAGGTGGTGGGCATGTACATATAAGGCACATCATCCCATCTCCGTTGGTCGATGCGGGATGTTACACTAAGCCAACCCCCATCCCCTTTAATATAGATAATATCGTTTGTTCAAAAAAAAAAAAAATCATTTGATAACTAATTTAATCACATTATTATGCGCGTGCAAAATACTTTTTTTTATAACCACTATTACACGCCTCTTAAGATGTTTTGAATGTGTTTAAAAATATAGAAAATAATATTTAATGAATAACTGATTGAATCACATTATTGCTAGCCTATTGTGAGGTACTAATTAAAAAAATGTACAAAAAGAATTAATTATTAAAAAAACACGGTTAAAATGATTAAAATACCCCTGCATTATTTTGGGTGCTAGAAAAAACCCCTCACAAACCAATCAAAGCAGTTGAATTTACATTAAGAATAGAGAAAATAATATTTAATAAACAACTGATTGAATCACATTATTGCTAGCTCATTGTGAGGCTAAGCCCACCCCTCCCTATTAGATAATATCGTTTGTTCAAAAAAAAAAAATCATTTGACAACTAATTTAATCATATTATTATACACTTGAGAAAGACATTTTTTATAACCGGCATTACACGCCTCTTAAGATGATTTGAACGTGTTTAAAAATAGAGAAAATAATTTTTAATGAACAACTGATTGAATCACATTATTGTTAGTCTATTGTGAGATATTAATTAAAAAAACTATACAAAATGAATTAATTATTAAAAAAACACTGTTAAAATGATGAAAATGCCCCTACATTATTTTGCTTTTGAATTTTTTTGTTTTCGGGACATTTTTGTCCAACTATTTTTTGGTGAAGCTTGTGACCCCAAAAGAAGTTGTTGGCTTTACATATAATGATATAAAGAAGATTTCACTAATCACCTTGGGGATCATTTAGTATTAACTTACTATTAACTTACTATTTATGTGCTAACACTATCTCCAATTCTTGAGTTAAAATCTAGAAAATTTAAGTTTTAACATAGAAATAGTTTTTTTACTCCAACCATTCTGGGTTAAATATTTAGCCCAAGATTATTAAAGAATGAATTTAGGTTTTTTTTTCTTTTCAGGAAACTGTTATTAACACTCCAAAAATGTCAAAAGTAACTTAAAAAAATTTATGTAGACTATCCAAATTTAATTTTATGAAGATTTTAACCTAAAAACATTTAAATTCCGATAAATATTGAAAAATCACTAATAATTGTATGAACAATTAAATAATTTTTTTTAAAATTGTTTTTTTCCGTTGGATTTAATTTTGGGCCGTTAAATTTTTTTTATTTTTTTTTTACAGTTAGATTTAATCATATTAGATTGTAGTCGTTGAATTCAATGAATTTATAAATATAAAAAAAAATCAAATAAATTTGAATCTGGACCGTTGGATAACTGCAGCCATTGGATGAAATAAAGAGTCGTTGGGCTCATAATGGTGCCTAACACGCCCATGTGCATGTGACCCATCCCATGTCAGCGCCCTGCTCTTGTAGTCCGTTGGGCGAGTGAAGCTTGCATGTTTGGGGAAAATTTGGGCATGTCTACTCTCATATGTGCGTCAGCCCACTAACTCAAGGGGGAATCTTGACTAAAATTTGATCCAAAATTAATTTTTAGGTTAAAACTTATTTTTTAGCTCAAGGTTTTAGTAAGTTGGGATGGGTTTAGAAGCTAAAATTTAAGTTTTATTTCAAAAGTAGGGGTAGGTCTAAGAAAACATCATTTGTTAGGTGATTAATCAATATAGTGTGTGGTCGCCACATGTATGTAACATCTAAAGGCCCTATACGGTGTTGTTAATGTTTCGGCAGATATACTTTAGTGGAAAATGCATCTTAATTTTTTGCCTAATTTTTTATCATTTCGTGATGTGGTCAGATTTGCATATCGACGCACAGTCAGTCAAGAATGAAACTATAGTTGACTGTTGATATTTATAATTTGGCAACATACACATCTTAATTAGGTATAAATATTTACAGTTTAGCAACATACACATCGCCAACATACGCACCTCTTTGGCAAACAGTTTGACTAACATGTATAACATAGGGGGAATACAATTTGACAACATTTATATCCTAATTAAATTCGACAAGGGTAATACCTCTTCAAACGCTTGAGCCGTGAGGGCATTGCAATTATTAGTCAACTTTAACCCCAAACTAAGAAAATACAGTCCCCTTAACACATTTACTTGTTTTTTTCCGCAGCCAAAAAATAAAAAATAATTTTTTTTATTTCTTGGGTTTTTAAATACAACATTAAACGACCACTTAGTATTATGGTCTAGTGGTACTTCACTTATAAGTGAGAGGCCTTAGGTTCTATTCTCACCAAAGGCGAATTTGAACCACATTATGGCTAGTCCTTTGTGAGGCTTAGCCCATCTCATCCCCTTAATATAGATAATATCGTTTGTTAAAAAAAGAAAAAAAAAATACCGTACTATGGTCTGGTGATAATCCTATTCATTTGTATGTGAAATGTCTTAGGTTTGATTCTTACCAAGAACGAAGTTGAACTACATTATTATAGCAAGTCCATTGTAAGGCTTAATGTTGAGTCCATATTATACTATATATTTCACTCTAATCTTAGTATTAATTTATTGATTATTTTGGTAAAATTTTGATACTTTGTTATATATTCTCAATGTAGGACATGCGACTTCCTCTGGAGCAAAAAGTGATCAAACGGATGAATTTTGAAGTAATTCTAATTGGAAGATGTTCGTGATTCTTTCAAGACGAAATAAAGGCCCAGCGTGTAGCTTTTTCAGATTGACGTTTTTAGACGTTTTGGATATTTTGGAGGTAAAATGGTATATTTTGAGAAAGATTCCTTCTGAGGATTTGTAGGGGACATCTCCAACTTTCAAAAGAGACCTTTTGGGGCCACATCGGAGTTGATTTGGTTGGTCAAAAGACTAATTTTCTGAGAACTCCGAATTTCAGTTTAAATAGGAAACCCTTTATTTTATGTTTTATTATTTTATTATGTTTCCTAGTTTTATTCTAAGACTTTTTAGGGTTTTATTTTGTAGTGTATAAATAAGACTTTTTAGCCGTTAGGGTTAGGAGGGAAGGAGAGGAGGAAACACACGCACAAGCCTTTGACAATTCAAGTTTATTTTCTAGGTGTTTTCTATCCTTGTTCTTAATAATATTTTATTATGATTGTTCATAACTAAGTTCTTTTGGTAGGGCGAAGCCTTGAGCCTTAACATGAATATGTGATTTTATTAATTTGCTTATGAATCGATGCATGGTTGCTTTGAATTATTAATCACCACGATTAAAACTATCTAATTGTCTTAGTGATTCACGACCATTAGGTTTTTAGACAAGTAATTTGATGCAATTTCTGTTGGAACATCACCCTGAAATTGAGGAGGGCTTCCTGTGATTAGTAATTATAAGTTCACTTAAGGCGAACATCACGCTCTTAAGGGTTGCATGATTTTCAAAGGATTTTCACAAGGCTTAATGAGTCTTGCATGCTTATATTTGATCTAAACATCACAGACAGGTTGCATGTTAGATATACGTTTTCGCTTGAACATCACGGAGAAGATATGCATTAGGAAAACCTAACCTTCAAAGCATGTATGTGGAAATTCATAATTGCGTAGGATTGTTAAGGGGACGACAGAACTCTAGGCTTTTACAAGTTGATTTTCTTTAAATTGTTCTCTAGTTAATTTCTTTAATTGTTTTATTTTAAAATTCGTTTTTATTATATTAAATGCTAAAATCAACATTTTCCAAACTTTGTTTTAAATAATTAATTAAGAGTTAGTTTTAAACACAAATTATTCATTCAATTCTTGTGGAAAACGACTTTGCTTAAGCTGCTATACTACGACCTTGTACTTTTGCAAGTATTTTTATTCCTACTTTTGCATGTGGTAAAAATCCCTATCATTTAACCCACTCCCTCACCCTTTTAGTGTAAATATTATTATTTGTTAAAAATAAAAATACAACATTAAACGGAAGGAGGACATTGAACTCGAGATATTAAGTATAAAAGTCAATGCTCTTAACTAACGAGTTACAAATCCCTCGCACAAGGAAGTGGGCTGCGGCGTATTCGATTTGTAGTTGTGAGCAAAGTAGTGTGAGCAAAATCATAGCATAGCGCTTGGTTTTCTCCTTTCTCAATCTTTACGAAACGACTAAATGGCTGAAACGGCCGTCGCAACAACGTGACAGCAATTGGCAGGCCTCCAACTCCAACCTTTTCTTTTCATTTTTTTGTTGTTATCTCCATTTGTTTTTTTAAACGTTGTCACGTAGACATCACTGGACAGAGATCAATAAACACTTGACAGTCCGAATCCCATTGGATCTTTGTGATCCGAGTCAACACTTCTGAAATATTCAAAAATATATATATACAATTTGTGGGATGACGATCCTTTTTGTGAGGATTCTATGGATCAAATCATCTTAATTGTTCATTATACATCGTGCGATTAACTTTTGTTAAGTCTGTTTGTGTTTAATTTAAAATAATTTCTGATCATAGGATGATTGATGAACGGATATGATGAACTGACCTCTAAGATCCTAAAAGAGAATCCAAATAGGATCATGTTCCCAATCTGTGTAGGAATGGTCGGATATTCCGATGTTTTCGTATTAAAAACGATAAAACCAATACAAAAACTATGATTATTTGTTGATAAAAAGACAGGTAAAAAGAGAAGCTATGATATTGTCTCCACAACCAGCTCCAGCTCCCAAGAAGAAGAGTATTACTTGCAATCAATCCACCCCGCCCGCCAGCCTGCCTCCGGGGCGCCTGCGATGCCATCTTTAAAGGGCGAACTCGAAAAGCAGTAGGCCTCGAGAGCTATCTTCACTTTCAACATCTAAACCTATATCTCGCTATTATACTACGGAGTTCGAACGTGGTGACCTCTACTCTAGCATCTCATATCATCGTGCAGAGACGAGTCCCAGCAGTGATGTTCAAATCATCGTGCCAAGTGTTTGTGACATACTGCTACACTATTAGATACAATCATACAATTGGAACACGCCACTCTGCAGTGTCTAAGATTTTCATGTTCAAGAAACCAATTTTGTTTCTGCTTTCATCCAGAGGATCATGACGGATTCACCAATGGTACTCTGTTCCTCATATACACTCATCGGTTCATTCCCAATTCTAGTCATGTATTGCAAAACCATCTCAACTCTTAACAGATTTCAAACTAAAGTAAGCGCTCGATAATGCACAGAACATGCTACCACCTGACTCATAACCACATTCAAACTTCAAAAGTGAAGTCCTTTACACCTCATTCAAGACCACTCCCCTCAGGAACTGGGTTTCTACTCTACATTTAGGGTCTCTCACAAAGCTCAGTTTTGGAAGGCCTCCGGTTTGGTGTGAGGAGATAGGTTCCACTACGACCAAAGGGTGTAACAGGATGCTACTGCTTACCTCATAAGCACATTCAAACTTCAAAATTGAAGTTATTTTACCTCCTATTTAACCACAACATCTAGCTAGAGCTTTGTTGTACACTCGGGTCTCTTCCAAAGTTCAATTTGGAAGGCCTGTGCTTTGGTGTGACCCTAGCTCTTGTTCCAAGACGGAACACCTAAATCTAAAGGAAAATGGTTTGGTATGAGAAAGGAGTTCAACGGCAATGCTGTCTATTCCATGGTTTAAACTTTTAAAGGAAAATGGTTTCTAAGGCTTGTGGGTTTACAAGGGAGAAAACAACCGAAATCTAAACACATTATCACTTAACTTAAGATTTCTAAACAAACAAACAACTCCTTAATCTCTTAACCCTCTCGTAAACAAGAATAACAGTAATTTCTAGTAGGATCATAAAAAGGTGGCATTAGTGATCCAAAACCAATTATAACAATGAAACAACAAGGCATGAGCAAATCAGAGCTTAAAATCAAAGACCAGTACCAAACAATCATGTGGTCAAAAGTAGAACATATTAATAAGCATTTCCCAATCTGAATATCATAGAGAGTGCTCCTAAAGGGTACAAGTTAAACATAACCAGTAGCTAATTGAACTGCTACAAAATTTCACAATCCATATTTAAAATGAAACTAATCCCTCATTAAAAACCAGTAAAAGTCCTCACAGAGCAACCTTACTTCTCGGAAGAGTTCGGCCCCCTCTTCTTCCCGAATCCAACAACTGCAAATCGAACCAGAAATTATCAGCACCATCCAAATTACCAACCTTTAGCACCTCAAACGCATTAGAAATAAAAAAAAATCAACATCACATTTCAAAATTTCAACACCCAGAGACTTCAATTGAACTAATTTATCAAATCCAAAGAAACCCTAATCCCAAAAAATCATGAAGTATTTAATGTGTGAAAGTGAGAGCGATGAGCTTACCGGCTGTGACGAATCTCCTGTTGTACTGCAGCCTTTTGTGGGCGCGGCCTCTGGGCTTCTTCTTCTTGTCTTGCTTCGCCACCTTCGGAGTCTGACCCCTAACCTTCCCGGCACGTGCGAGCGATCCGTGAACCTTGCCTGCACAGCACTCACCCACCGTTGCAGAACAATCAAAAATCGAGAAAATCCACATAAAAAAGGGAAAAAAAAATGCGGACCACGTACCCATGGCTGATCGGTGATGCTGCTGCTCTGTGTGTTAGCGCGCTTCTGTTTGCGATTTAGGGTTTTGGCGGAGGCGGAGAAGTGGACTATATAGGGTCAAGGTCGTTCTGTTTTGCGCTTCTGTTTGCTATATTTATCGAATATAACAAAAAATTAACCCTTAATTTAAAAAATGTCAGTTTTTATATAAACTTTTAAATATATTTAAAATTTCACTTAAATAGACACAAATACTCTTAAATTTAACAATAAAATAAATTAAAGGCATTTTAGCTATTGTTGCCTCAAGCTTCGGTCCAACTCACCTTTGCTTCTACACTTCACCCCTATAACCCTATCCCTTTCGACCCCCTCATCACTGGCCGCTGTTGTTATCGCAAGTGGGAGCAGCAAAATTTCAATCATGCCTTCAACGCTTTCTTTCTTCCCACGAACCGAGTCTTAGCGCCCCGCCCCCCGGCGGGCTGCCAATTCATGGACGCATAAACTCTTTCCGAATCGCATCAATTCTCTATAATCATTGAACCCAATTGAAAAAGGACAATTTTAAGAAAGAACCACTAAATTTATCTCAGTGTGCGGAAATTTGGATTGGAAGGTGGATGGTTTGGATTGTGAGAGAATAAGGATTTAGGTGGGTTAGGGATTTTTGATTTGGGCATGTTTGTTGGATTTACCCACCAAATGAAGAAGACGACTTCTTTTTTTATTTATAATTTTTATTTTTCTTACTCATATTATTTTTAGTTTTAAATATAAAAAATGTTTTGAAAGTTAATCCACAGTCATTATATGATTGTATTTGTGAGCTCACGTGGCACCACATCATTGTACTAATAGAGCAATTGACAAATTTTTCACGGTGATCATGAAGGACAAATTCAAAGAAAGACTAAAATGATTCACAATATACAAATTCAAGGACACTACAATTGATTTTCATTGTTAAGGACAATATTAAGGAGTTGTGTCAATGTCATGAACCATTTTGGTTAAAAAAACCTTTAATTTATTTGATTGTTAAATTTGAGGGTATCTGTATCTATTTAAGTGAATATTGGATATATTTGAAAGTTTTTGTAAAAAGTGATATTTTTGAAATTAAGGGTTAATTTTTTGCTATATTTGATAAATACTCATTCAGTAGTGTGACTGACTTCTCTGAACACGTCGTACGGTTTAAGGTAAATTTATTCAAAATGTACCTATATACCATCTCCACCTCTTGAGGATAAAGCTTAAAATTTTAAGTCATAATCTAGAAACTGTTTTTCTTTTTTAATAGTTATAGCCTAAAATTTTAGTCTGAGATTATTTTCAATGTTAGATTTAATTTTGAAGCGTCAAATATTTTTTTTTTTTTACCGTAAGATTTGATCTCATTTGATCATAGCCTTTCGATTATAAGTAAAACAACACAAAAAAAATGATTGAAATATGACAGCTTTGTGAGTCCAGAATAATTTAAGCCAGACTTAATTTATGGGGGAATCTACATTAAAGATATATTTTATTTATTTTAACCCAATGGTTGGAGATGATTGGGGGGAGTTTAAAGCTTATATTTTAAGCTCTATCCCATGAGTTGGAGATGGTCTTAGAGCACTTCCAGTGTTGTAATGCCCCCTGGGCAATGGACAACTCAATCCCCTTAAATGAACAGTAATTGTCTACAGTGAATAGCAACTGTTCAAGTCCATCTCCACGCCTAAACTGTATAGCCTAAGCAATTTGTATTAAAATATTAGTAATTTTTATTTAATAATAAAATAATAAAAGATAACTTTATTTTTAACTTTGGATAATAATAAAATATTGGTTGAAAGTATTTAAAAATATTAAAATGTTATGTAAAGTGGAAGAACATGGTTAGTTATGGAAAAAAATTATAATTTTTTTTTATGTTTTTAATTAATTAATTTTTTATAATTTTCTACAATTTTTTTTCTAATTTTTTAATAATTTAAATTGTAGAGTCTTGCGTAACATAGACAGGGCGCTAGACCAATCGATTATTGTCTGACTTCTCCATCGAGCTTGCCTTAAGCCCAATTATCCAAGTGGGCTGAAGTGTTTTGGGAGGGGAAGTGGATTTGGTTGCCTATCCCCAAGGCAACAAGCAACGATAGAGTTGCTCTAGCAAGTCGATCCATTTTATGAAGGTAAGGACAAGGCAAGTGCAAGGGCATGTAAATTGCCGTTACTATTAACTTTGAACTCGCTTTTGTGCAACTCCACCTATTTAGAAAGGGTAAAAGTAAGGTCAATTACTACTGACAAATATATGTATGTCTTCATTTTTTTATGCTTTGTTGGCCTCATCTTCCACATGTCATCATCCCTTTAGATTTTTTATGAGATTTCAATCACTCCCATTGTGCCATATGTCATCATTCATTAATACATGCACTTAGATTTTTGATAAGATTCTCAACCATTCACGTAGTGCCACATGTCTTTATCTAATATTCTGATTTCCTCATATTTCTCCATAAAAAACCCTTCAAACCACCATATTTACTAACACTAAGCCTCTTCCATCCCCTCTACTCATCTCATTCATAGATGTTTAGAAAAGTAAGTTCTTTCAACAATGTCTAACCTAAGGAGGTTGCAAGAGAGTCGAGCAAGAAAACGAGCGAGAAGATGAAGAATGAAGAAGAAGACGTGCCCAACACCAAATGCATAGAGAAGCATCAACTCATCAAATTGTGCAAGGGATATCATCAATCGATCAACACAACCAAGAAACAGGTGGTTTAACAACCGATTGTGCGCCGAACCTCAACTTATGTGAGGGAAACCGAGGTAAGAATGTCTTGGAAGATTACTTTATTCCAAATAGTTTTTACCCAAAAAATTATTTTTGTAAAAGATTTAGGATCACCATATTTGTTCAACAACATCATAGCTGCTGTTTGCAACTATGGTAATTATTTTGTTCAAAAGAAGGATCATGAACATGCTTTAGGTCTTCTTCTAAAGCAAAAAATGATGGCTGCCCTATACTTGCTTATAGGCCAGCTGCAGACACAGTTGATGAGATCAAGAAGATGGAGAGATCCATTGTACTAGATTACCTTGATAAGTTCTTCACTATATACTGTAGAGTACCTTTAAAAAGCTGATTGTTGAGGTTTCGGTAGTGGAAAAATTGCCCAAGTTCATGGCAAGGAGATTACGAAAATTGAAACACTACATAAAGTGTCATTTTAGAGGTAATGGCATCATTTGATACATACATTTTGCATTGCTTCTTTGGTGTACTAGGATCTCAAAATGACCTAAATGTTCTTGGTTCATCGCTTGTTTTGATGTGTTGAGAGGAGAGTCGCCTTAAATTGCGTATGAAATCAACGGTACAATGTACTCAGGAGCATACTATTTAGTTAATGAAATTAACCCATTATGGACCATTTTTGCAAGACCATGTCAAATGACACAGAGAACGAAAAACACTTTGTAGCACAACAAAAGGGGTATATGAAAGATGTGAATAAGTGTTTTGGTATCCTCCAAGCTCGTTAGGTAATCATTAGAGAAGTTGCTTGATTGTGGAACAATGGGCAATTTGAAGCATCATGATGACGTGCATCATCTTGTGTGGAGCAAAAAATATCAAGAAAATTATGGAGGCGACACGTGGACTCTTGGGTAAAAAGATAAAATTACCCTTGAGGTACACTGGGATTCTCATTAGGGGTGGGCACGGTGCGGTTCGGTGCGGTTCCACCCCTAAATTGGAACCGGAACCGAAATATATTAACGGTTCGATTCGGTGCGGTTCCACTTAAATTTATGACTAGAACATTACGGTTCGGTCTACACCGGTTCCGATTCGGTTCTTGCCGGTTTACGGTTCCTAATAATAAATTATTTGAACACCAAATCATTATGCATTCAAATACATCTTCTAAAACTGATTACATAAAGTTGCATACAATACATCTTTTTTAATACAAATGTCTTTGGTAGTGGCACCAAGTCAACAAAAAGAGACAACTAAAATACATATGCACTGGTCAATCAGTCAACAAACAAAAAAATGATGAAACAAATTGCAAGTTTTCAGACTTCAGAGAGCAAGCAAGAAGCAGCAGCTCCTGTACACAATTTTTCAACCTATTATACCATGACATGTGTGTGTATATATAATTTATTTATTTATTATTAATAAAACGGTTCGGTTCGGTTCGGCCGGTTCTTGGTCATTCGAAACCGGAACCGGAACTGGTTTGAACGGTTCGGTTCGGTTTTTCACTCAAAGTTGACTTTTCCGGTCAACACGGTTTTTTTCGGTTTTTTTTCTTACGGTTCGATGCGGTTTTGCGGTTTGACGGTTTTTATGCCCACCCCTAATTCTCATGCGCATGCAACAGACAATAATGGCTCAATCGAGGTCAAACGTGATCAAAATGGTATTTATTCAAAACCCTCTCCTCACTCCTCATCAAATCCTCACCCACAAGGTAACTCCCAATTATTCTTTTCAAATTGGGATTAATTACCAAATTAATTGCAAGATATTATTTGACATAATATCTTGCAATTAGAGCTAGAATTCCACCATAAGTGGTCGGTCCTTATTTCTCCAAATAAGGCTGGCCACACCCCTATATATAGCCCCATATTTCTCCACAAACCTAAGTCCAATCTCTCCCTAACAATCCCTAAATACTTTCTCTCTAAAATTCCAACTTTGGCATTGGAGATTCTTCAGCCAAAGCCCCCTATTCATTATGGGCGCGTGAGGCTCTTGGCCATAATCTTAGGTGTTATTATTTTGCAGGTCCATTTTCGTCAAAGGAGAAGAAGGCGGAAATTTGCATCCACAAACATGATTGTAGAAGATACCAAGATACGAAGAATAATTCAAAAACTAGAATTTATCAAGCTCATGACTACACTGAAGAACATGCCCAACGCTCATAATTCCTATACTTGGCTTGGCCCACCTTGTTGCATTTTAAAATGAGTTTAGTCTGGTCCCTCCAAATTTGGGTCTGGCTTAAACCATGCCCACCCTTAGACCTTCCCCCACCCCCCTACGTTAATGGGTGGTTTATGGTTGATCTCTATTTTTTTTTTTTGAAATAAAAAAACTTAGTTTCCTATTGGAACCAAATTTGTGCACCATCACAGATGGTGG